GCATCGATTTTAGTCTGATTTTTATAAAAATATTTACAGTATGCCTTTTAATGTGGAAAGCTATTTGCAAAGTTGTTGAACATTGTTTTTAAAAGATTTAAAGCGAAAGTCTTGGACAACCTAGATTTGGTTTTGAAAATGGCTTTAATAAACCGAGAGCGTTGAGAGTATGCCGGCTGTCACTTCGGTTAAATGTGACCCTTGTACACAAGTGAGCTCTAGCTAGAAAACCTTTAGCTCACTGACAAACTATTAAACATGGCTGGGGCCATAGTCTGTGATATACGTGGCAAGGCCAAGGGTTGTTATATGTGGCTAGGCCACAAGTGATAGTCGCGATTGCGACCGCTTGATTTCTTCGATGTCGGCCAACATCATCAAGACTACCATAGCTATGGAAATCGGTGGAGCAAAGCTCCCGAATGTCATTATGTGGAATTGGGTCCACGAGCGATTACGATATTTACCTACTCTAAAGCCTTATGAGTTTTCGACGCATACTCTTTTGCATGGTGGAGAGTTGAGATTTCTTTGCAGCTCTCTTAGTTTAAATAAAAGCTTTTAGTGCTTACTTGATTAACATGAGATGTTTTACGTGGCCGTACACTTTGATTTCTTTACATGCCACACATTTTGGGAGCATGCATACTTTATATTGTTATTTATGTTTTTATGACAAGCAATGCTTTTGATGTTTGAATTTGGTTTCGTTACATTTTTTTTGGCACCGTTTTGCCAAGTGAAATATTGTAATGATGATTTTACTGCTTTATTTTTACAAGGCACAAACACTCTACTAGTAATTTGATTTTTCTAAGATTACAATAATTATTTCGGTTTTATTATTCAAATATATTTGCCTTATGCTTGTTATCCATCTACGCCCTACTCACAAAGCCAATGATCACTGAGTATGTAAGACTCACCCCTTTATTTTCCTTTTGTAGGTAGTGATCAGCTTAGCATGCAGTCATCGGCATTTTCAGTCCACAGCAGATAGGTAAAGGCATCTCATAGCACTTTATTCTGAGTTGCTCCGCTGCTAGAGGTCAAGTTGTCATAGTGTAACTTGTTATGAAATTAGACAATAGCATCAATACGAATGTACATTTGGAGATTATAAGTCTTGATGTATTAATTTTACGAT